GTATAATATAAATAATATATATATAATATGAATGTGTATAATATAAATAATTTGTATAATATATATAATATGTATAATATATGTAAAAGATATATAATATTCAATATATACAATATGTATAGAATATTTAATACATATAATATATATATATATGTATAATATATAATAGAATATATATATAATATATGATATATATATAACATATATTATAGAATATATCATTTATATAGTATAGTATAGTATAATATATAATATAACATAGTATAATATATTGTATAAGTTATAATAATATACAATAATGTATTATTATATTGAATAATATTTAATAGTATATAATAATATATAATAATATATAATAATATATAACATAATATAATATAATAAAGGATAATATAATGTAATATAATTTAATATAATATAATATGATATATATATATAATATATTATTTATTTTAATATATATATATATATCATATATATGATATATATAATGTATATAGTATATTATATATATAGTATTTTATATATATAGTATAATATATATATATGATATATATGATATATTGAATATATGATATACTATATTTATATATAAGAGCCATTGTAATCCCTCATTACCCCTTGTAAACCATTCATAGTTGGTATAGCCATTTTTACAATCAAACTGGAAAAATACACCAACCTCACATCGTGACCTCACTGGAATGATGACAATTGATTGTAAGGGGAATCATCCCCATAACTGGCCGAATTGTTCAGATGAGTAAAATATTAAGATTTACCCAGAGGGATGTGAATTCAAGGAGTTAGAGAAAAATTCATGTGGTTAGAGATGGCTAAAGTGTTGTTTGAGCTTGAAATGAAACTGGATACGGTGAAACATGGGGTAACTGAGTTGTTCAGATGTTTGAAGATGGTTGGATAGATTGTGTTAAACCGCCAAAACGACTGAAACGGTGAGAAACACCACCTAATAGCTGATACGGAGAGCAATGTTTTTCGCTAGTGATAGATGATTTCACACTTTTTTCGCGTCCGGGTCAGCCATTTTTTGCAGCCAAAAAATGCAGCCGACATCCTACTTGTGGCAACTGGGATGACTGTTTTGCTTACATTTCAATACATTTCACAGCTGGTTGGTGGTTTCAAACATGTTTTATTGTCCATTTCATATATGGGATGTCATCCTCCCCATTGACTCATATTTTTCAAGCTGGTTAAAACCACCAACCAGAGAGTCACATGTTCTGGATCCAGGACCTGGGTTGAACTCTCAGTTTGTTTTCAGCCATCCCCAAAAATGAGATCCCAAAAATGGCAGGTCACTGCCACCTGGCTCTGTGTTGCGACCCGCAGTGGCGAGTGCGCTGGATGCGCTCCTCAAGCGCCTCAAGCACAATCGATCGAGGGAGCGATGAACGTCTCAGCCAAGGCGTGCAGGTCTGCATAGAGATCGACAACTGCACCGTGTCAGCCTTAAGCAAAGCCTGCATGGCCTCATGCCTGTGGTCAATCCAACGTGGAATGAGCTTGGCTGGGCTGTTGTGGAGCTTGCTGTGAGACCGCTCATCGGATTCTTCGACAAGGTTGTTTGCTGCCATGGGGCATTCAGATAAATAGCTTATCATAAGCTATACCCATGGGAAACCAGAATGGTAAATGGTAAATCCCAGCAAAATGGTAAATAACCTATACCCCATGGGGAACTGTGGTCAAGTTCCTGACGACAGATGTTGAGAATCATCCCATCCCGTATATCACATATTGTCTGGATGATTTTTGATATACCATCTGGTTATTTAACATAGCCATGGAAATGGAGGTTTTAATGGGAAAATCATCTATAAATGGGCCATTTTCTATGGCTATGTTAAATAACCAGAGGGTATAATTCACCAACATCATTTTTGATGACTGTTATCTTGGTGAATGATCATGGTTTATGGTATGTTAGTGATGATTTAGCTGATGATAAGCTTATGCTTCATGCTGGCATGATTCAACTTACTACACATGATTTACAGTGATATCTTGATGAGGTCCACATGTCATTTATCCACGCACCCCGTCGTGTGCCCCAGAAAAGCTGCGCCCAGGGCAGACGATGAAAGCGGAAGTGTGAAATCCAGTAAGCAGCAGAATCTACAGGTGCGAGCCACGAAGCCACGAAGCCATGAGGTTAGCTGAAAGCCATGGCACTCCTTGGAGCATCCCATCAATCGTGTTTCTGGTGAAAAAAAGCCTGGTGATCATAAGTCCCCGCTTATCCCGTCTTCAAAGGGATTATAACTGTAATGATTCACCACTTTTCTACAAATGAATTATAACTATGGTTAGTAATTGTTTTCAATGGAGTACAACCATGGAATAAACGGATTATGATTGCTATCTTTTAAGTGGATTATAGACCACTTACGATACAAAAAATGATTCCTCTAAGTGCTTGCTGCTTGATGCATGCCTGGTTCAAGCATCAAGCGAACTCACCGTTATCCCCTTAGAAATGGGTCACCTTTCCAGTTGTTTTCCATTAATGCCATGAAATCCCATCAGAATCCATTGAATGCGGCATTGCGCCCATGTTCACATACCATCCCCAAGTCATCAGCAGGTTATTACTTGTAAGGACCATCCCCCAGTCATGGTCGGTTCCACTCGTCGTTGATCGCGCCGCGTGTCACGCCCGGCCGTCTCTTGGTCAGGTGCCCACCACCTTCGATGGCATGTTCCTCTTCAACGCCGCCGTGATGGGCCCCTCATCATGAAACATGGGGAGAATCATGGGAAAATATGTCAAAATCGTAGGAACATCTGGAAGAATCATAGGAAAACGTGGGAAATCCCCAAACTCAGTGGAAGTTTGAGTGGGAAAATGATGGGCCTTTTTTGGGAATTTTCCGTTGCTAAAATCGAAAAAGACTGGGATTCACCTGCCACAACTCCCATGGTGGGATGGCTCCACGGTTCATCCCACAGTCAGTCGGGGCTTCCACAGCTCAGGCTTTGGCGAGTCCACTTGGATGAAGACAGTGCCCTGAGAGGGGCGGGAAAAAACGGGGGAAGCACACTGTGACAGACTTAAGGATGCACCCAAAGCTGTTGGACATCTTGCCTAAGCTGAGATGTGTGTCTTGGTCACATTTCTTCCAGCAAGTCCATTCATTCCCAGTCGTCAGGAACAGGCTTCCCGTTGGGTTGGGTGGTTGTTTTCACTGCAGTTGTCAGAGGCGCCTTCTCCGGGGCGATATTTGGATGAAACTCATGGAACGTGATTGAGTTTTATTTTCCCAATGAACCAAGTGAGACAACTAGACGACGGTTGGCCCGAGAGCGAAAAAGATGTTTTTCAAGCAGCTCTGAGGATGGTAGTCGTAAAAGATAGTCGGTGAATAGTTGGTCAATTTCGTATGAGCTATGGAAGGATATGGTGTGAAAAAGTAAGATTGATTAAGAAGAGGATACTTGGTAAAGGGCATCAGATGACACGTGTCTTGCAACCACAGAGAGAAAGAGGGAGGGGAGAGAGAGAGAGAGAGAGAGAATGAATGAAAGGGGGGTAGAAATGTGAGCAACAAAAACGGTACCATGATGCTGCGAACGACATGTGCTATCTCATTTTACTATGGTAATTCCCACACACATTGCGGAAAAAGCTCCTCACCATCATTCCGTGGATGTGAAGAAACGCGACGCTTTTATACAGAGACGCTTTTATACAGAGACGCTTTTATACAGAGACGCTTTTACACACAGACGTTTTTACACACAGACACTTTTACACACAGACGCTTTCACACAGAGACGCTTTTACACGCTCAAAAACTTTTACACACATACCATTTTACACACAGACACTTTTACACACAGAAGCTTTTAAACACAGAAGCTTTTACACACAGAAGCTTTTACACACAGAAGCTTTTACACACAGAGGCTTTTACACAGACACTTTTACACACAGAAGCTTTTAAACACAGACCATTTTACACACAGACACTTTTACACACAGAAGCTTTTACACACAGAGGCTTTTGCACACAGAAGCTTTTACACACAGACGCTTTTACACACAGAGGCTTTTACACACAGAGGCTTTTACACACAGACGCTTTACACACAGACGCTTTTACACACAGACGCTTTTACATACAGACCCTTTTACACACAGACCTTTTTACACACAGACGCTTTTACGCACAGAAGCTTTTACACACAGAAGCTTTTACACACAGAAGCTTTTACACACAGACGCTTGTACACACAAAGCTTTTACACACAGAAGCTTTCCCGCACAGAGGCTTTTACACGCAGACACCTTTACACACAGACTCCTTTACACACAGACGCTTTTGCATACAGACCCTTTTACACACAGACCCTTTTACACACAGACCCTTTTACACACAGAAGCTTTTACACACAGAAACTTTTACACAGAAGCTTTTACACACAGACGCTTTTACACACAGAAGCTTTTACGCACAGAAGCTTTTACACGCAGACTCTTTTACACGCAGACGCTTTTACACACAGACGCTTTTACATACAGACCCTTTTACACACAGACCCTTTTACACACAGAAGCTTTTACACACAGAAGCTTTTACACACAGAAACTTTTACACACAGAAGCTTTTACACACAAACACTTTCACACACAGAAGCTTTTACACACAAACACTTTCACACACACAAGCTTTTACACACAAACACTTTCACACACAGAGACTGGACCCGTGAAATCGCAATTTTACTGCAGTTTTTGACGCCCAACGTCCATTTCGTCTGAAGAGTTGCCCGTGACACCTCAACATCGCAATTTTACCTCAGTTTTTGACGTCCAACGTCCATTTCGTGCGAAAGGGTTGCCCGCGACACCTCAACATCGCAATTTTACCTCAGTTTTTGACGTCCCACGTCCATTTCGTGTGAACGGGTTGCGATGGACTAACTAAAATCGCAATTTTACTTCAGTTTTTGACGTCCAACGTCCATTTCGTGCGACAGGGTTGCGATGGACTAACTAAAATCGCAATTTTACTTCAGTTTTTGACGTCCAACGTCCATTGTCGTGCAACAAGGTGGTTTCGATTTACTAACTAAAATAACTAAAATCGCAATCTTACCAACAACTTCAGGTTTTTGATCGCTCAAGGCCGTCCTTTTGCGATTTCGTGCGAAAGGGTTGGATGGACTAACTAAAAAAGTCGGGCAATTTTGACCTTCAGTTTTTGTGTGACGTCCAACGTACCCTTTCGTGCGAATGGTTGCGTTGTTCGTGGCGCTCCGGCGTCAACGCGGTGCCCCCCGCCTTAATGAGAGAGATTGAAAGAAGAGCGCGAGTAATCTCAGGAGGTTGAAGGTTGAGGATGTTAGATCTGCAGATTTGAGGGTGTGAAAGATGTGATACTGCAGGATGTGAGGGTGATGTTAAGATGTAGATATCTGCAGATGTAGGGGGTGAAGATGTAGCTCTGCAGAATGTGATGGTTTTTGGGGGTGTGAGATGTAGATCATGCAGAGTTGAGGGTTTGAAGATGTAATCATCAGATGTGAGGGTGTGAAGATGTAGATCAGCAGATGTGAAGGTGTGAAGATGTAGATCAGCAGATGTGAAGGTGTGAAGATGTAGATCAGCAGATGTGAAGGTATGAAGATGTAGATACAGCAGATGTGAAGGTGTGAAGATGTATTATAACGGCTGCTTTTTTGCGAAGAACCCTTCGCAGGCGCTCTCGGGAAAAATCCAAGTCACAAGTCAGGGCATAATTGTCAATTCAAAGTTCATCATTGGCCATGTTTTCATGTGTTCCCCAACATTTTTCGTGTTTGGTCACCTTTTATGCGCCATCCTGCTGCTACCAAAACGCCTTCGTGGTGCTTTCGCCATTGGGATCTTTTCCTGCAACCTCCGGCAACCACCTTGTGGTTCAGTTGGCTTTTCACTCTGTGACACGTCATTTGGTATCTTGAGAGAATGGCCTCCTTTGATCCACTCTGTGACACTGATGCGGATGATAACGACAGCACTGCGGCGTGACCCGCTTAGCCTTCAGTTAGGCGGTGCTTCAGCGGCTCCGATGGGGCTCCGAATGGTCCGGCGTTGATCAATGTCCTTCTGCAATTGGCTCAGAAAACGCAAATCTGCAAACCAAATCCATGTCAATGCCATGGAAGAGTTCAGCGAGGTGATTCAGGAAGAAACGGCGCGGGCACTCAGGGATTTTGTCCTGTCAGTGTTCACGAAAGCCAGCTTGTGCTAGCTGAAGTTGCTCTTCATTAGCAAGGCGGCGTATTTTGCTGATAGGATTTCTTGCTAGTTTTAGTTTGAGATGGAGCAATAGAAAATATCACGCTAAACCAGCTACTGTCGGAGGTATCTTAGCTTGGTAAAAGGAGCGAAATAGCTCAGTGACAACGCGCCAATGATTCGGAGAATGAAAGCTGCAAAAAACGGAGAGAGCACTTCTATATGTTGGTTGTTTTTAATGGGGGATGATCATTGTGAGAAGTGGATAGGCGTCAACTTGGTATGGGTCAAAAATGTTGATTCGCCATGGGGTGCAAGACATGTTGGTCAGGTCATATTTCATATCAAATCGTCCATCCGAAGAAACCAGGAGGGGTGAATTGCATCAGTGTGATTTGCCTCAGGCCCCAAAGGCATGATTCTGGTCCCTATTGGTAGAACCACAGACAGGCATGATTTAAAAAACTGTGAAAAAAAACATGTTACTTGGTGATGCATGGTGAATATCGTGATAGTTGTTGGTAATTCTTTGTTAGTCCTCAATTTTCAAGGTTAAACGGGTAGGCCCAAAAATTTGTTGGCTAAATCTCCAAAGATTGCTAGTTGAAAAGCCCGATGTTTGTTGCTTAGAGTCATGTTCGTTGAGCCCTCCGCCTCTTTTCTGCAGACTTTCCGCCTCTGCTAAAGTCAGTCAGCTCAGTTTGTCGCAGGTACTGGAACATATGGATGCCATTGCCACAAATGTGGCCAATACCAGCCGCTTGCAGGACCTGCAATGGGTGACATGGACCCATCAAATCAGGACCGTAACTAGGGAAATTACAATCGTCTCAGCAGCAAGAATTGGCGATGTTTTTGGTTTGTGTCGAACTAGATGTACCCCAAATTTCAAGACACCAGGCAAACTGGGGAAAAGATTGTACTCTTCATCATGACTGAGATTTTGGGGTTCCGATTCTTCAGACTACTCGCTTGAAACGTTCGAATCGACATGTGCCCCAAGTAACCCACCACATGTTCATGTTCTTAGCAGGGAACAAGAGTGGTGAGTGCAAACGGATGGAGACTTTGGGGGGGGCGGCAAAACTTCAACCCGGTGGCAAAACCCAAAAGAACCATACTAGCCTGGGAATGAACGCACAGCACAAGAATTAGCTATTTTGATGTGAGAACCACCAGGTACGGTTTTGATCTGTTTTTGGCGCCCAAAGGGCCAGCACCCAAGATTTCCTGACCGTTTATCGATTTGACCTGATTGCCTTCTGGCTGAAGGTTTGGCAATGGGTGTTAGTGAAATTGGGACCAAAAAAAAGTCTGGTTTTGCTTTCAAAAAGTATCCCATGTGGGAGCTCTAAAAACCAGTTTCCGGACACAGCAGATTGCTCCATCCTTTATGTTGGTCCATTGGGAGCAAGCCTGTCCTTGAGATGATACCATCTTGCTTTATTTGAAAATATGATACCCCCACATTTGATGGTAAAACATGTTTAAAGTAAGTTTCCCTATCAAAACAGCCATAGACTAAGGTCAATCCCCAATGTTCAAGGCCGAAAATGCGGCACCTCCAGATCTGATGTGTTTCATGACCTTCCCACTCAAACCACCATACATTGTGGATAATCCGAAGAATCCCTCATGTTCCCAGGCAAATTGGCCCAGAACTCTGGGGTCGTGCCCGAGTGGATTCTTCCCATCGGCTGCAGGAAGAATGCTATGTGCTCTCCATCCATCTGTCCAAGTGCAAGGCCGCCGAATCCTTGGCACCGGCGAATTGCGTGGGACGGGTCATGAAGGGGTCGGGGTCCCAAAGATGAAGGCTCTATGTGGATTGGTATATAAATATATATATATAATGTTACTATTTTTATTATTGTTATTATTATTATTATCATCATGTATGTACAAATAAAGTTGTATATATATATACATGTGTATATGTATGTGTGTATGTACATATATATATATATATATGTGTGTGTATGTATACATGTATTTACATATACAAATTCATATTTATATATGTACATATATATATACATATATATATATATACACGCATGTATATATATACATATATATATATATACATATATATATATGCATATATATATGCATATATATATGCATATATATATATATATATGCGTGTATTTATATCCGTGTATATATATACACATATGCATATATATAATATATACATATATATATATATTTACATTTATATATATATGCATATGTATGTATATATACATACATATATATATTTACATTTATATATAATTGCATATGTATATTTTCAAAAAAAAAATGAATATGTATTTGTATGTGAGTTTATGTATGTGTATATTTACATATATACAATATATGTATGTACATATATACATATTTGCTTATGTATGGATGTATGTATGTATGTGTATATGTATATATGTATATATGTATATATGTATGTATGTGTATTTGTATATATGTATATATGTAGTTATTATATTATGTGTATACTATATGTATATTATATGTATATTAAATGTATATTATATGTATATTATGTGTATATTATTTGTATATTATATGTATATATATATGTATCGTATTTGTATATTATATGTATATTATATGTATATTATATGTATATTATATGTATATTGTGTGTATTTTGTATGTATATTATGTATATTGTATGTATATTATATGTATGTTTTATGTATAGTATATGTATATATGTATGTATATATGTATGTATATATGTATGTATAAATGTATGTGTATATCTTTCATTATTTACATATATTTATATTTACATATATATTTATATTTATGCATACATGCGTTTAAAGGTTTACGCCTGACAGCCGGCCACCGGCCAAAAAAAAGCAAGGGCGAGGGAAGATGGAAAAGCAGGGAGGAATGGTGGATTGATGCAGGAATTTGTGGCAAATACTTCGGGCAGATGAGGAATCTGGGGCCGTCCGAGCTGGCATCTTTTACAACCTATGAATACATATACACATTGAATCTATATATGACACTCTATATATATATACATATATGATACATATATCTTGAGGGAGTCCGGGAGGGAGAGAGTGTTTCTTGTACAAGAGTATAAGTGGCACAAGGTGTGGCAGGAGCAGTCTCTTGCCCAGGAAGGCAGAATGTTGCCTTTTCCATCCTGCATGTTCATATTTTGTGCTGTACCATCTTGTCTTGGATGATGGTTTCTACCGACCAAGAATTTCAAGTTGGTTTGAAAGCACCGCTCCCATTCCCAATGTTGATTACCCAGCTGCTTCACCTTCAGACTCATTTGTGTTGGTCAAAGACCTTTTTCCTTGTGGTTAAGTACCTTTATTGATGAGACAACCCCAAATCACATATCAATTGGGTTACTCATTTTGGATATATCCCTTTTTTATTTGTAGGTGTATACCCAAATAACATCCAAAAACATATCAAGTGTGAAAAAACACCCATGATATCCTCCATCCCGGTGATCCAACTACTCGCCTTGGCGTTGCAGGACCCTGTGAATTTGACCGAGTTCAAGGCCTGCGACGGATGCGCGTCTGCCCCCAGCCAAACCGTTGGTTGGTCGTTGATTGATCATGATTTGGGGCTGAAGGTGAGCTGATGTTCCTGCGAAATCCACTACTTGGGAAATCTATGGGAGTTTTTTTTGTTTTTTTCTCGGTTTCCATAAGCAAATCCAAGATACTGGGTGAAGCTGGTACAATAGGGATGGGATACCGCAAAATGAGCTAACATGCGTGGTTTGGAAAATATGATATGATCGTTTGCTGAAATATATATTAATATAATATAATATATAATATTACATATATATATATATGCATTTGCATTGAGAAAGGTAAATGAAACTTGATGGAACCAAACATCACCAAAGTTTTCCCAGCAAATTTACACAGCTCATTTTTGGTGTTCCAAGTCCCTCTAATCCCATCCCAAGGAGACACCAATCCGCCATTACTTTCTGATTGATTACTGGGATTACTATAGGATTTCTATGGAATTCCTATGGGATTACCATGATGTTTCTATGATATTTCTGGAGGCTCCACTTTTCGATTTTGGGATTTTTGAGCATCCCTGAAGTCGATGTTTGTTTTTTTCGGCCGCTGAAGCAGCAATTTGCTGAGCATTTTTTGTGTCCGAAAATGTGTCTTGCTGAGTTGCCCATTGTCGTTGCTTAATTAAATCTGACTTCTGAATGTTGGTGAAGCGTTGCTTTTTTTATGTCCATAAAATTGGTAGTTCAGTAGCAGCTTCTTGTTGAAGTGAAAACCATTTGCTGTTGTTAGAATAGGATGCCCTCAAAATCCCATGGTTTATCATGTTTTTCCCTGACAAACGATGGTCATAAATTGATGCTATCCATCTTTTTCAGACAGGCCCAAAATCACAATCACATTAAGTTGGTTGTCTATCTCATAAAATCCCCATGTTTGTTGGTATTGTACTCGAATGTCCGCAGCTTCTCCATGGTTTCAAAGGCCTTCCGATAGGCGGTGATGTTGGCGGCCCTACGCTCCATCGTACCAGATGAATGGGCCTCTTGGTGAATCTAAGGAGCTGGTATATACCCAAACTGTTTGGGGTTTCTGGGGTTTAATTGGGTTCAATAGATTTAAATGCACCTGCGCGTATCTGAAAAGGCAGGACATTTACGGCAGGGAAAATGAATGAAAATGATGATTCGCCAGCAGATTGAGCTGTTTCTCCCAGCCATTTTTCCGGGATTTCGCTGTGGAGATCACCGGAATGCTGTAAAAATATATATATACATATATATACATATATATATATATATATCGGATAGATATCCATGTTCAGACTTCAGACACACTGTGGGAAACTGCCGAGAACATGGACCACGAAGTGGCGTGGAACTGGCTCTGGGAGAATGTGGAGCGGATCATCTCGCATCTCGGCTGGGGCTACCCTTGTCATCCGAGTCATTGGACCATGACTTCGTATTGAAACCCATGGGTGAGGACTGGGGATCGACCATTTTAAGAAACCTCATATTAGTCAATGATGTGATATGATGGGCTCAATGGGTCATGTATAGGGGGATTCGGGATAAGACTCATGTAGGCAAAATGTGTTTTCCATGGAATGAGGTAAATTCTGAAACACGGCTGGGCCAGCGATCTTCTTGGGGAAATTGCCATTTTTGGCTACGAAACTCACAAGTTTGGAACATCCAATTGCACAAAGCAACGGAGAGCAATGCAGCAATGGCTGTGTTGTTTAATTCTTTTCTACAGAGTGACTGAGATCGTGGAGAAAACGGTGGTTGAAAGAAACAGGTGTCCAGCAATCCTCTCGGCAGTCTCCTGGGATTGTGTGGTAGTGCTAGACTGCTAGGTGATATCTCTATGATCCACTGGATATGATCGCCTACCAGTTCCTGGCCTCGGGAAAAAGGAAAAACATGTGGTTCTGTGCCAACAAGAAACATGTAGTTACATTTTGCCAGAATAGTCTTGGTTTGGATAGTTCACGACTATGAGCGGCGATCATAGCTTTTGGACCATACCCATTCAGCCAACCCGGGTTTTTCGTTGACATCTTTACTTTCGTTCATCAAAATCCCTTCAAAAGCATGGGTCAAATCCACCTGATTTTCTGATAAAATGTATCTTTCTTCATCAAAATCCATCAAAATCCAATGCTTCGTGTAGCACTTCCAGCAACCCCCCCCCGCTGAAAACACCACAGCGAGGTCAACCATCGCCTTGCCCCGTGCCTATGAGAAGGCGGTGCGCAACTTCCTTTTCTCGCAACCCGAGGCACTGGGAAATGGTGGAAGAATATGGGTAGTACATGGGTTGCTTTAACATGTTCCGAGGATGTTTTGAAACTTCCATCTTCTATCTTCTCCAGGATGATTGGCCCAGATAAACTCAGGATGAGCGTGCAGCAACTCCTCAAGTTAAGAAATTTCACCATCATTCAGCCGGTGGTTCCTTCTCCAGAACACGTAAAAACAGAAAACACGGACCACACAACATTGGTTCTTGGCTGGCGGTTCAGGAATGATCAGTAGACTCGAATGTGCAGAATTGTAGCCAGAGACTTTAGAACTTTAGAGCAGAACAATTTTTCACCGACCCAAGCGTTTTCAGCGGGAAACAACAATAGCAATACTATATTCAAGACAAACCGACGAATGACGTGAACCTTGCCGAAGATTAGGTAAGTTGTGGTTCATTGTGCGTGTGTTTGGTTGCTCAACTTTGTCTTTGAATTGAACTTTGGCTGTATCATTTCATATTTTATTAATCGGGTTTCAAACAGTGATTGTAATTATGATGTTAGACATGTTAGATGTCAAGTCAATGTTGAGTTGAGTCATGTATGCCGTTTTAGTCAACGTTGTTTTGATCGATGCAGGATGCATCATCAGTGGTTACTTTCAGGGCTATCATAGATGCCATCCGTCACTGGTACCCCGAAATGTTCTTGCTGGAAAACATCGAGATGAGCTCATGTGACGATGACGACAGGAACTTGGACCACATCCTTGGAGCCCTCTAGTCACTGGGATATAGGGTGAAAGTTTTCAAGTTGACAGCCACCGACTATGGTCTCCCGACCAGGACAACTCGTTTGTACTTTGCAGGCTTTCACCAGACACTGCAGCCATATGCATCGTTCGAGCTTGTGGAAGAGCTCTTGTGCTGCTTCAAGTTGAAACATCAATTCCCAGACGCTAGGTTTCAAATTGGTTCAGTTGTGTACAAATAGCTGGGCGATATGTTTTGATAATTTTTGAGTAGCACTGGCACCCAGTATCCAACTACCTATGGAATGTTGTTTTTGAGACATGACCTGGACTAGACTAGACTACAAACAAACCAAACCCATGCGAAATTTTCAAGGCTTTACAAATCAGTCTTTAATGTGTATGGGTAAAGGCTGGATGTAAACCTATAATTACACATAATTCTATTAAAAGCATGCCTGCAAAAAGCGTTGCGAAGAATTGAGTCACTGTGTTCTTCTTGTTTCTGATAGCTGGTGTATCAGGTCCTTGTGGGAAAAATCAGGTAGCTATGGCAGCCTAGTCAAAGTTCAGCACATCGGCACAGGATGGTGCCCCCCAGTGATGTTTGTTGCTTTATAAATTCCATTAACAACTTCGTTACATCTACCATAAACCATAGAATTCAGCCACTTTTTAAGACGTTTCTGAACGCTATCGATAGCGGGTGGCATCCTGCAGGACAAGATGATGTTCCTGAGGGCACAGACCTTCAAGACCTTCTTCATGCGCTGCCCTTCTGGTCAGGACCGGGGCAGCTAGGCAGCGCAGCCAGGCTGTTTCTGTTGGGAAGAATATGGGCATTTCCTGAAATGGGGGTACCCCGATTTATCATCCATTTCTTAGATGGGATGTTCCATTATAAACCATCCAGCGTTTTTGGGGTATCCCCATTTCTGGAAACCTCCAGATGTAGCATACCAAAAAATCTCCAAGTTGGCAGTCTGGTTTTTGCACAGCTGGAAATTGTTGCATCTCCCAATTTTGGTGGGTCCACTCTCATTTCGGTCCAGGACTTTTTCAAGCAGTCGACCACCAGGTTGTACTTCATCCTGGACAAGAACTATGTGCCACGGCGAAAGTTCGACTTGAAAATCTGTCAGATCCCAAAGGTTTGTTTTTCCAAAGATCCACCATTTTTTTTCGTCGCACTGGATTTGGACATCAGGTTTTCTGGTTGGTGGTTTGGAACATGAATTTTATTTTCCCATTCAGTTGGGAATGTCATCATCCCAACTGACTTTCACTCCATCATTTTTCAGAGGGATAGGTCAACCACCAACCAGCTGTATATGTAACTATGATAACCAATGGGATTTTGCACCATATTAAGCCATACAATCACCATATATTTCGGGTAGGTCAACCACCAAGCAGTTTTTTATAAACCATCATTAACCATATAATAACCATTAATATTAACCATTATTAACCGTATATTTTCAGAGGGATAGGTCAACCACCAAGCAGTTTTTAATGGAAGATCACACATTCAATTTGCCATCCCGGGAAATCCATCCATGGGTGCCACGGATTCGGAATGCTGGAGTCCGAGTCGGATCTAACTTGGACAATGCTGTTGTGGAAGTGTTGTGGAAATTGGGATGTATCTCCAGTTTGTGGCCAAAAATATGGAGATATTTCAGTAGATAATGATGGCTGGTTTCATGATTGTAATATATTTTAATGAGATTTGGACCCCTAAAGTGTGGCTGTTTCAATGGAAAAATCATGAGCCATCCACTTTGGGGTTCCCCATTTTCCCAACCAAGCCACAGTCGCTGACTTTCCGAGTCAGTCGCTGAATTCACCTGAGGAAATGACCATTGAGATGTTCGAGAATCCTGGCAAGGCCCGAAGATCTCAATCACTGTCTGTCTGGTTGGTGGTTTGGAACATGGCTTTTATTTTCCATAATATATTGGGGATAATCCTTCCCAATTGGCGAACTCGTATTTTTCAAGATGGCTAAAACCACCAACCAGTCTCAATCACTGTGATTGGTGAATGGATGTTTTTTTTCCAAATGGCCTTTGTGTGAAAATGATGACTTGCCAATGGATGGAACGGGGATGAACGGGGTAATGTTAGTGAAGCATAGTAAAGCAATGTCATGAGCCAGCCATGTGTTGATGGTTTATATCACCATATATCACACATTCATGGTACACTTGGGGATAAA